CCCCCCCCCAAAAAACAAACCCAACCCCCAAAAAACCCCAAGCCACCACCTCTTTCTCAGATCATGGCAGTGCAGGGCACTGCAGTGATGAGCACTGTGCAGGAAAGGCAGCAGCAGCGTTGGACAAAGGTATTTTGTGAGGCACCTACAAGCACAGACCCTGCGAGTGAGTTCAGCAGCACCAGCGGGACAGTGCAAACGCCTGACAACGCCAGAGCAGAGCAGGACACACACGCAGCCTGCAGCATCAGCACCACAGGGGTACAGGGACAGGGCCATGTGGCTCATGCAGAGGAATTTTGGCACACCAGTTTGAGAGATGTTGGACAGTGTTGGCACATGTGTGGGTGATCATGAACCCATTGCTAGTTTGTACAGTGCTAAAACAGAACAGACTTGGCAAAGGCAAACGGTCCACTCTGCAGTGACCGCTGGTTAAAGCCAGGAATAACGGCAGAACCAGCACCCATGAAGTTCTGCAAGCACACAAGTTCACGCAAGTACCCTGCAGGAACCACGAGTCCCAGGGAGAAGGGCTGTTAAACTGCTTGGAGCAATTCTGTCTGGAGACATGACAGCTACGAGGCAGCAGGGAAGAGCCCACTGCCCTCCCCAGCGGCAGGAGATGACTGGGTGAATTCACAGGCCAAGAGCAAAGAAGTAATCAGTGCGTACCACCATTAGCAGCAGTGTTGCCCACCCCCTCAGTGCTACCTGCAGGACAGCATGGATGCCAAGTGTCCTGGTTCAGCGCAGGGCAGGAAGACCCATCAAGGATTGTTAAACCCACACCACCAACAGGCATCATCTACAGGTTTCTCTGTGCCCTCCGCTGTGGGAGGAAAGGCACAAGACCAGGGCTCGACATGCAAAACCACAAATGAGAAAGTGTGCAGGTTGTGATGGACCTGTGGGGACCCGAGCGTACCCAGAATGCACACTTTCCCCACAGCCGCTGCCCATGGCGCTCGCTGGGAGATTGCCTCTGCTGCTGCAGGCTGGACACAGCATGGCTCATCTGGGGCCATGCACCTCGCCAGCCACGACAGGGGAGACGGGCTGCAACCTGACAGGAACCCAGCAGCAAGGAGCTCAGTCAGAAAGCAGCTGTGAACAGTTACTTGCTGGAGAAACCAGATGTCCTGCTGGCTGCAGCCTCCCCTCCTATATCTGGGGAAGGAAACCAAGTGCGTGGCTTGCCCCTGTCTCCAGACCACAGCCAGGCATGCAGCAGGACAGGCACACAGCAGGAGAGGCGGAGACCTGCTGGCACACAGGGGGCTGGTGTCCTCTGTGGCCTCAGCAGTCACACACCAGTCCAGCACAGCCCTGGACCAGCTCTCCCCTGGATAACACGGGCCACCCCAGGCCCCAGCAGCCCTCAGCACAGGGGGAATGGCTCACTCTGGACCAGCAGCTGAGGAAGACGTGGAAGCTCCAGGGCTGCTGCAGGCTCCATGAGCTTGGGGTATAGCCCAGGGGTCACCACAGGCAAGTGCAGCAGAGACACCACACCTCGCACACTGTGCACTGCACCCCATCCAGCACTCAAACCCAAATGACAACAGTAAAAAAATCAGTTTATTTCCCTATAAAGGCAGAGCTTTCCTTTAAAAACCAGCTCATTTCACTCATAGGAAAGTGTGGGGCTGAACTGCAGGGGCCAGACCTTCCTCACTCACCCCTCCAGGCCAAGAGCTACAGCTCCCTGAGAGGGCACACACCAAGTGAGTCCTCCACCATCTCCAGGGGGCTGCTCGGCCTCAGCTGGTGCCCAGTTGTACCAGGAGGAGAAAGGCAGGAGAAAGAAGCGGGGCAGGTCAGCGGCAGCGCAGTCCCAGGCACACTGGCTGCCATGTGGGGTAGCTCTGCACGCACTGGGAGTGGGCAGAGCGAGGACCACTGGTCCACCAGCCCCAGCTGGGAGCAGGGAGCAGCTGCAGTTTGAGGCGGTTCATGCAGGCAGAGCAGGACAAGGAGCGGGTGTCGCGGTCCATGCACTGCATGGCAGCAGTGCCAGCAGACGCCATGCCTGGCGGGCAGTGCCGGGGGCAGGGGCAGGCACTGTCTGCCCCGGGTGCAGGCACAGGGTGAATCCTGAGTGGCCGGTCCATCACTGCAGAGGTCTGGCTTAACCCAGGGGAGTCTTGGGGCCAGCGGTTCCCAGGCCAGGCGCGGGGAGGTCTCCAACCCCTCGCAGCCCCTTCCAGCTGTCCGGGGGTTGCCCCAAGCGGTAGCACAGTAGCTGTGTAGTAGGAGAGCTTGCTCTGGGCACAAGAGGTGCTGACTCTGAAAAGCAAGAGGGAAGAAGACCTGGTCCATGGGGCGCGCACATTTGGGAACCCAGCACAGCCTGGGAGAGGAAGCAAACCTTCCCAGGTGAGCCATCAGCCTCCTTCCCCCGCAGAGGACATGCTGGGCGATGTGGCAAAGCAGCACTGAAGGAAAGAACTTACCTGCTGGGCTGTGGGCTCCCCTCCCCAGCTCCTCCATGCTGCTTTGGAAGAGAACAGAGCACCTGTCATACCCCAAAAGCAAGGCCTGCTGAGAGACACAGCATGCTCATGACCCCGAGGACGCAGGCACGGTACAGTAGTACAGGGCACTCCAAGCACAGAAGGTCCTACCCCACCTGCTGCCAAACCCCTTGCCAGGCCAGCCTGCCCCGAGACTGCAAAGATGTATCTCCTTCCCATCAGAAGCCCCCACGTACAAAGGGCCACTCCACAGGGGCACGTACACAGCTCTGGTCTGTGCACACACTGGTTCTCAGCTGACCCAGCACAGACCAGGCTCAGCCCTGCGGCACGGACAGACCCCAGCCAGGCGCCAGCCACCAGGAGCATGAGAACAGCCACAGTGGAGCCGGCCACTCACACCCACCACCACAGGCACTTCTGCAAAGACCTACGGCTTGATCCTCCACTGCTGGACTGGTACTATCAGCTCCTCCCAAGCACAGGACAGACACCAGCAAGCTCAGCCCCAGGCCCTAGTCCATGCAGAAGTCAGCATGACCAGGTCTCCATCCTGGCCCAAGCCTGAGAGAAATCAGTGGGAGGAGAGGAACAACTCTGAGTCCCACCTGAGAAGCCCCTCACTACAAGACAGACATTGAGAGGCCAGAGCGTGTCCAGAGGAGGGCAACAGAGCTGGTGAGGGGTCTGGAGCACACGTCTGGTGAGGAGCGGCTGAGGGACCTAGGGGCGTTCAGCCTGGAGAAGAGGAGGCTGAGGGGAGACCTTCTCGCTCTCTACAGCTCCCTGAAAGGAGGGTGCAGCGAGGGGGGTGTTGGTGTCTTCCTCCCAGGGACAGGCAATAGGAAAGAAGAAACAGCCTCTAGTTGCGCCAAGGGGAAGTTTAGGATGGATATTATGAAAAATTTCTTCACCAAAAGGTTTGTCAAGCACTGGAACAGGCTGCCCAGGACAGTGGTAGAGTCACCATCCCTGGAGGTGTTTAAAAGAGGGACAGACGGTGGTGCTGAGGGACATGGTTTAGTGGAAACATGACAGTGTTGGGTTAGTGGCTGGACTTGATCTTAAAGGTCTAAGTGATTCCAGGATTCTAAGCATGTCTGGGCAGGCTGGCCTTAGCAGAGTGGTGGAAACAGAACAAGTAACATCTCTGGGTACATCCTGAGGGTCAGCATCTGTACCCCACAGCTCCACTGCAAAAGCTGAACTGCAAGACGTGACCCTCCATAGCTCAGCTCCCTGTTTGCTCCACAGAGCGACAGCTGACAGAGAAAGCAGCAGGAAGCTGCCACTTGCTCCCATGCGGATCTTCTCCATGCTCCCACCGTACCCGTGGCCCCAGCAGCTCCCCTTGCACGAGATGCAGAGAAGGAAACAAGACAGAGTTCACCAGAGAGATCCCTGAACAAAAGCAGTTCGACACCTACCCAGGTAAGGTGTCACTGATGTTATCATCTTCCTCCTCCTCTTCCTCCTCCTGGCAAACAAACAAAACAATACAAATTAACCCCACCGTGACGCCTTGCTGCCTGGGCAGGTGTGTCAGGAGTGTGGCTGGGCTGCCCGGAGCCTGTTCTGGAGCACCAGGGCAGTCCCCGGCCCCTTCACAAGACACAGTCACCCACCAGGCATGGCACAGACACAGGGTGCCTACAGGCGGTAGGGGGAAAGATGGCACCTGCAGTGCTGGGCTGTGGAAAACCACAGGGCTCGGGCACAGAGCCACACGAGGGGAGAGACAGACTACGGCTCTTCCCATATCCCCCCCAGCCAGCAGAGCACCAACCACGGGCTGTGAGCAGCAAACAAGCCACCAAGCTGAGAGAGCTGCTGCACACAGCGCACCTTTGCCCAGAGACAGGAATGGGGTGAGCACACCTTGCAGCTGCAGGGCAGAGGACCACCCCAGAGCAGGCTGCAAGCAAGGACGACCACAAGCACTGCCGGGCTGGGCCAGCACTGAAAGCATGAGGCCAAGGACCGAGTGTCCAGAGGCTCCTGGGCAGGGACACAGTGAGACCGGCAATGCTCTGGTTGGCCCTGGACATGCAGTGGGTGTAGTGCAGATGGGCAGGGCTGAGCCTGAGCCCAGGCTGGCAAGATGATGACCCGACAAAGGCTCCTCTCCTTCGGAGACAATGTCTCACCCCTAACCATGGCACCAAATGTGCGCAGCAGGTCCCAGCTCCCTGTTTGACAGTGCCAGCAGAGCAGAGCTCAGAGCTGCTGCAATGCTGGGCCTGACAGGAGAGGTCCCAGAGCAAAGACCGCCTGAGGAAGCGCGCCTGCCTTGTGAGCCAGACTGAGCACGGACAGCCCCTCTTTGTGTCAGGCCACCCTGTGTGAGGGAGGCTGTGCAGATCCCAACAGGGTCCTGGAAGGGCGGGAGGAGGGAGGTGCGTAAGGGTTACTCTTCTCCTGCTCTAATGTGAGACAGCCCTGGGCATGGGCCAGACTTGCACATACTGTACCCCAAACTGGTGTCTGAAGGGAGGGCTCCCCGGGGGGGCTGGCTCACTTGGTCTGCCGGGCTCACTGCTCTCCAAGACACATGAAGGGTGAAGGGGCTGTTCCTGCCTAGAGCCTGGGACAGGGCAAAAGCAGCAGAGTTAGTGCCTGCAACCTGGAGAAGGCCCAGCAGGAGATGTACAGGCAGGACTGTGGGCAAGGGACAGACACCCCTGCTGTGCTCGGGGGAGGGTGCAAACAAGGGGGGGTCACTGCTCAGGCACCACAGAGCCCGGAGCTGTGCTACAGCTCAGCAATGCAGAAGAGTTCGGCATGGACAGCTGGGGCACCCCCACCCCAGCCAGAGACCGGGCAGGGTCCCCCGGCGGGGCAGCGGCAGAGAGCACAACAGCAGGGAAAAAGTTCTCCCCGTTGGATGTGTTACACCAGCCAGGCAGCGAGCCATCTCTCCTCCACACAGCCCAAGACAGGGTCCCGCACCGGAGACCCCGATGCCAGGGCTACGCAGAGGGACACGTTTGAGAAATTCCTCCTACCTGCGTGTGCTGCTTCCCAGAGATCCAGTGCCATCTGGAAGGCCTGGGCCACGGTCAGAGTCACAGCCTGGGCCTGTGTACAAGAAAGAGGGGGAATGTCTGCTTCCATCAGGGCCCTGAAGCCAGGACAACCCCACTGCCACGAGATCCGAGAGCCCCCAGGCCTCCCTTGCTGCCTTTCCCTGCAGAGCATGCACACAGAAGGTCACAGTTCAACGCTGGGTCTGTCTGCCCACGTGGGCCAGACGTCCCCAGGAGGAGCTGTGACAGAAGAAACTCCTTGCTCACCACCCGCCTCTGCGTGAGCACATGTGCGCTCCCCTCACTCCATTTCCAGCTGAGGTGCACAGAGGTGAGGACCTTCTCTCTGATGGGAGAGAAGGAAGGGCCTTGCTCCCACCCTTACCTCATGGAGCCAAGAGCAGAAGGGCAGTGCTTACAATCTTCTTCTTGGGTGAGAGGAAGGCATGGCACTCCAGTGCCCCGCTCTCCTGGCTCTGAGCAACATAAGCGAAGACTTTGTTCTGCAGCTTGTCCGTCGTGCAGTAGGAGATCCTGCAGGCAGAGAGGAGCTGCTCAGGGCAACAGGGGACCCCACCACAGGTCTTCTGCTGTGCTCCCAGCACACCAACAAGCACTGCTGGCAGCCTGAGGCGTTCATCTGCCCCAAGTGATCCAGCAGCCCAACACCCTAGCAAGGGCCTGAGGCTGCTGGGCACCTACAGAGAGTAAGAGATTGCCGCATCCACAGGCGTTCCCTCCTGCGCTGCCCCAGTGTGCTCCTCAGTCCTCTGATGCCCAGTTCAACCCAAGCACTGAGACAAAAGGAGCACAGAAGGGTGGGTGATTGCCCCCAAGGACACGATTTGAGACCAGGCAGTAGGTCTTCCCTAGCATATCAGCTCTGGTGCTGAGACCCAAATTTTGCATCGAGGACATGTCCTGTCTCTGCTTCCCACCTAGCCGCCACGCTGCAGCCATGCTCCCCTTGCACCCACCGACATGCAACCCAGCCAAAGCTCAGCTGGCAGCACTAAAAAATCCCCACATCAGCTCTCACAGCAACTGCCTTTAGCCAGCCCGAGTACGCTGCAGCCATGGCACCCTCAGCCCACTGCAGCCAGAAGGGCAGTCCCGTGTCAGCGGAGAGGGCCAGACGTGCGGTCCTGCCCTGGCTGTGGGGGCCTTCCAGCCATCAGCCTTGACATCCTGCTTGAATGCCAGAAGAGACAAGCAGGGCCCAGAGAAAAGACAGATGGACTGACCCCGAACTCAAGGCCACCCAGGACCTTGCCTGCATTCAGCCCCATGCAGGGCTATGGGGCACAGGACGGAGAGGTCCCGGACCTCAGGGAGCCAAAGGAAGACCTAAGCTTGAAGGTACCACTAACAGAAGGCCCAGCTCTCCCTGGCTGGTCAAGATCCCATCAGTCTCCTGCTGGCTGCAGGGGAACACCCAGGCCCTCCCGAATGCCATGCCCACCTGTAGATGGAGATGTTCTCAACCATCTCCTTTGTGTCTGCATCCTGCAGCGAGATGCCCCTCGGAGACACTGTCAGAATCACCTTCTGGAACTTGCGAGCTCCCACCCGTGCCTGGCAGTAGGGAGACATCAGACACCTCTGCAAATCTGGCATGGGTCTTCACCCCCCACCCTCCCCTTGCTGGCAGGAGTGTCCCAGACTCTGTATGGAGCGCCACCCACTTGGACCCTTGCTGCCATGGCTCCTGCAGTAGGGACGGGAAAGCAGAGCCTGGCGATCAGGTATGCCTTACATAAAACCACCCTGGAATCCATTCACACTACTGCCATGTGCATGGGAAAGGACAGACCCCACCTTCCCCGGTACTTCACCCTCCCCTCCGTGCTGTGACAGGCACAGCTCTGCTCCCAGCCGTGTTCCCGGTGCGGGGGCAGGCAGCGGCAGCTGTCCTGCAGGAAGACAGTTTCCTCCACGGCACACAGGTAAAGACCAGCCAGCCTCTTGCAAGCCTCCCTCCTCTTGGGAAGAGCATGGTCCCTAGCTGGGGTTCAGGGCTGGCACACGGACCCTTCCCAGAGTCCAGGGGCTGGGCTCCGAATCAGCTCTTCTCCACCCCAGCACAGCAAGGGCACAGGACCAGCTCTCACCGTGGCCACGATCCGGCGGATGGCAGCAGCAGCCATGTCTTCTCCTTTGGGTTTTTCTACCAGCGTCATGCCTAGATACTTGAGCGTGAAGCACATCCCCTCAAGCAGTGGCTCCTGCATATCAGCCCAGCTCTCGGGAAGCTCTGCAGAGACAAAATCCCTTAGCAGCATAAGCCACGTGCCAGCGGCCCCACGGCTAGCCCCAGCAGAGTTGAGGCACCTTGCTGTGGCTTCATGGCTCCCAGCAGCAGTGCCACCACCTGCACTCAGCAGGGCACTCTCCTGGCTCTGTGGCATTCTTGGAAGAGGAACAGAACAAGAGGACAGTTCAGTCTCAAAGCTTTTAGTACGCCATCCCTGGAGGTACAGGCACTGTCAGCACATTTAGTAAGCTCCAGTATCTGCCTAGGGCCTCGATGCTGCAGTGCTCAGTGCTATCTGCAAAACCCTTACATTCCTTTGTCTCATCTATTCCACCACAAGCAGGATGTGCTCTGTACTGCATTCATCTCACCCACCTAAGCCACTGGCACACCGCAGGAACAACAGCATTTGCTGCCACACTCGGTCAGATCAAAATCCCCAAGTTGTCCCAGTGTAACCAAAGCCAAACCCTCTGGTAGCTACTATTTACAGCAGCAGGCTGCCAGGGAAGGGGTAGCTTGTCCAGCACTCACGGTCCAAGCTGAGGTTACTGGGAAGCAACTGCATGACAAAGATCCTGTGTTAAGGAAGAGCTCGGACTGGTATTTCAAGGATGCAGAACAGCTTCCAGGAAAACACATTTTATGGATAAACTCTGACGCACAGAAGGAGGAGGATCATCAGTTGGACTAGATGACCTTAAAGGTCTTTTCCAAACTAAATGATTCTATGATTCTATGAGCGCTCCCATGTGCATTACTTTGCAGGTCACAGAATTAAAGGGGCACTGGCTTCTGTTTCCTAGGTCCTCTCTTTTCAAACCCCATTGCTGTAGTAAAAAAAAAAACAACCAAAACCAACAACCCACCACGAAGTCAATGGGCACAGTGTCAACAAAGACTCCCTATGGACAGTCCTCAGCATCTCCAGCTTCCTTCAGAACCCAGTCCATTTCACCAGCATGTTCTGCCACACGGTAGATGTGCCGGTAGGAGAAGGAGCCCGGCCCTGCAGTCAGTCCTGACACCACTACCGTTGGCAGAGAACACACAAAGCAAGCACTGCAGAAGCATCCATTCAACCTCTGCTCCCACAAGACAAAGCCATTGACTTTGAAAAGAAGAGTTCGCTCTCATTGAAGGCAAAAGCTTTAGTTATCAGACTAGTGTGACACACACAACAGAACACTTCTCTTGTGCCCAGTACTTCCCGGTGATAATTTTCACGGAGACCTGAAGCAGATGTTAGCACACATTTACTTTCCTCAAATCCCAAAGAGCACAAGGATGGTGAGAAAGGAGATATGTAGAAGGGCTAAGACACAGGGAGTCACAGTCTCTCTCATCTTCTTGGGGATTCATCCCACAGAGGAGGGAGGGAAGGAACAGGAACGCACAAATTACACACTCTGCTACAAACACCAGGTTTGTACGCTTCCCTGGGAATAGCCTAGGTATCTACTGTTCACGCTAAGCTAATACTTTTCAGAGTTATTTTTCACCTGTTTCCTGGGATTAGCTCCCTGAACATTACTGGCACACTTGCAGAAGGCTCTGACTCATAATTGGAATAACCTGAACCCACAGGGAAATCGGAAGACCTTATTTGCATGGCATACTCCTGCACAAATTACAGCTGCCAGGGAACCCACCTGGTACCACGCAGGCATCGGGGATGTCTCCCCAGCGTAGAACAGCACTGTCTCACTCCAAACTCTGAGAACAGCCCACGTGTGTCAGGGCTGCCAGGGCGAGCTCTGCTGCCCCAGTAAAGCCTTTGGGCCGCGATGACCGCGAAAGCCCCGGCGGAGCCCTCCCGCCGGGTCTGTGGGGTCAGTCTCAGACCCGGCTGTGCCGCAGACGGCCGGCAGTCAGCCTGCAGTGACCGT